TATCGCTACTAATTTATATATAATGGGATTTCGTTATGAGAGTTCTTTCAGTCAAAGGGCCCACCAAAAAAATCTCGCCAGTTTTTTTATTTTTGAAAATTTTTTAACTACATAATAGCAGAAAGAAACCTTTAGCATATACCAAAATCTGTGCAAGGCCTCCATTTCAGGTTCCTTCATTACCAGCTCCTTGTTCTTCCATCATCCTTTGTGTTTCCACTTAGGAAAATCCTTGTTCCATCAACATCTAGAGGCTCACCCCACAGCTCACCTTTAATTTCCCATGGATTACAGACTAAAAGTCATAAGAACAAGATTTGTACAGTCTTTACTGTGAGACCAAGAGCAGATTAGCTGGACTGTGATCGGGTCACATACCTGCATACATACAGATGAAGGCAGAATTATTTTGATTTTTTTTTTCTTTTTTTAATATTTCCTAAATGATGTTTAACAGAGCACGGAAATTTTCACAGTATGTCTGATAATATTTTTTATTCTGTGGAAAGTCTTATTTGTTTTATTTCGGCTAGTATAAAAACAGTTATTAATTTTTTAAATATCATTTTTAAGGTCAATATTATTAGCCCCTTTAAGCTATTTTGTTTTTCGATAGTCTACAGAACAAACCATCGTTATATAATAACTTGCCTAATTACCCTAACCTGCCTAGTTACCCTAATTAACCTAGTTAAGCCTTTAAATGTCACTTTAAGATGTATAGAAGTGTCTTGAAAAATATCTAGTCAAATATTATTTACTGTCATCATGACAAAGATAAAATAAATCAGTTATTAGAAATGAGTTATTAAAACTATTATGTTTAGAAATATGTTGAAAAAAATCTCACTGTTAAATAGAAATTGGGGGAAACAAATAAACAAGGTGCTAATAATTCAGGGGGGCTAATAATTCTGACTTCAACTGTACATTATCACAACAGCGCTGAAGGTTTTGCATTGCAACACACACACAACTATTTCCAAAGACCACTTAAGAAGCTTTAAGCAGTTAATTAATTCTCGAGAGTCTTGTGATCAGTTAAACAACAATCAGACCAACGAAAGCTTGAAATCGGCCTTTATTAATACTGTGAAAAAAGTCAACTTTATGAGCCTTTCAATAGATGCATCAGTATCGCTGTTAATACACGAACTACATCATAACACAAAATAATTGTGATTTATAACTCTGGTATCAACGTTTTGGTGTGGAATAGTACAGGTCACAATGTTTCAAATGGTCGGCACAAGCGAATAAAACAAACTAAATAGCATCATACTGTAAGATAGCTTGCGTTACATCTCATCTGAATAAACCGTGGAGTTTTTGCTTGTTCACAGCTGAGCACTTGTTCTCTTTGAGGAAACCAAATCATGCATCTTTTAGGAAATACAGTGCTACTGTATCATGATGTATAAAAGGAAGGACAGTTTAAACGTAACAAAAACAAACACACTGAAGGCACTGGCTGTTATCTGAGGCTAAATGATTATCTTTTTTTTTTCATTTTAATGTTTTTGGTTTCATGCACAGTGTCCTGGTTTGACACCTTGTCGTATTCAAGTACCTTCCTTCAGGCGTGGGGATAATAAATTAAATGCTGTGAACTGCCCTGCAGTTGCAATATGTTTATGTTTGATGAGGAAATGCTAAGGAAACACGATGAATATCAACATACGTACAGTATAGTTGCGGAATACAGAGAACTGACCGGACTTTGCATTTAGAGGTTCAACCTTTACAATAAACAAACTTGATCCCAATAAACCTGCCAAGTACATTCCTGAATCATAAGACAGAAAACATTAAAAATAACCTAAAGGGGACCTATTTTTCCCATTTTTCAAGATTTAATATAAGTCTCTCATGTCTCCAGAACGTGTCTGTAAAGTTTCAGCTCAAAACACCCATTAGATTATTTATTAGCGCTTTTCAGAATGTTGGATTTTCTGCTCTGAACAACCAAGTCGCTGTTTTCGTGGCCTGTACCTTTAATGTTGGTTCTCTCTGCCCACAGTTCCCACATGCCTGTCAGAGTGTGTCTCAATCTCCACCCTCGGCTGCATCAGATAACCGACAGACATGAAGGAAGCAGACCTCACATAACGTTTGAGAGAAATACTACAGTAAGAACTTTCCCAATGATTATTTGTTGTATTTGTTTGTTGAGTTAATTCAAGCCTTTCTGCAACAATGAGTCACACACGATGTCGTTACAAAGTTCACGCACACACACGTGGCTTACAAAATATGATTCTCATCATAGGTGCTCTTTAAAGGGGACATCAGTGTGTGAATATAACCAGGCTCGAATGGTAAACATTTAATAATTCTATTTTTTATAATCGCACTTGATTAAAACAGTCTGCAGAAACACTTCAATTGACATTCTCTCTTTGTACGTGTCATCAGAGTGGGAAAGCCCGGCCCACTAGTGACAATCTCTCCCTCATTAGCATAGGATGTTAGTCTTGTTATTAAATCCGCCACTATGCTGACACACAGGCATTTGTAGCTCCGCCCCCTCTTCTGAAAAGTGTTCAATCTCATTTGAATTTAAAGAGACAGTCACCAAAACAACACTATTAGGATTAAAGCCCAAAAGTGGTCATTTCAGAGATTTATAAAATATTATTTGTGTGCTATTTTGAGCTGAAACTTGACATACACACTCTTGGAACATCAGAGACTTATTTTACATCTTGTAACAGGCCTAAACAGGCCACCTTTAAAGAAAAATAAACCTATTTGTAGGAACATTGTAGTTATTCTCATTACTGTAATGCAATATTTTAATAACAAGAGTTTAATTACGTGTAATATTTGCGTTAGGCTGATATAAATAAAAACATTGTTACATATTGCTAAAAAAATGTGTACTAGATTATCAGGTATGTAATATGCCATTTTTGTAGTGTATTACAGCTTTGTATTTGTAAACAATAAATATCAATGAAAACACTTTGTATTAAACTCGCTCTGTTATTACATTTCATTGCCAACGATTTAGTCGTTCAGATTACAAGGATGACAATCTAGCAAAAAACACCATTAAAAATAATGGTATTTACAGAATAATAATCTCGATGCATTACAGTAATGAGACATTTGTTACTAGAAAAAAAGCAACAATGAACAATCTTAATGGTCATTTAAACAGGGTTCATTGTCTTTATACAAAATATATGTATTTATATTGATTTTTTTTGTAAAAGTTTTGTTCATGTAATTCATTAATTTATGTATTTATTACTGTATTTATTAATCTTTGGTAACATTAGTTAATGACAAAGCTTGAATTATGCATTAATAAATGCTTGTTCATTGTTGGTTCATGTCAATAAATACATTCAATAACATTAGCTAATGTAGTGTTTCTCAACCACGTTCTTGGAGGCCCACCAACACTGCATGTTTTGGATGCAACCCAGGCTCGCTCTGAAACGTACCCCTATAAACATTTCTGGAGAGCGCCAAATACGTCCCAGGAGCTACATTTTTTGCAGTTTTGGTTTTCACGAATTCACCACAGGCTGCTGTGTAGGCTTTTTCAGAACTCATGATATCTCTCGCGAGCGCCTGCTGTTCTTGCGTAAATCCACCAGAGGACGCTGTCAACTGACTGACTGATCGACTGACACCACCACTCACCCCTTTCCCTAGTCTTAACTGATAGTGTTTTAAAAAGCACCGACTGACCAGCACCCACCCACTTTCCAAAATCCAACCAATAGTGTTTCGAAAAACAATCCAGAAAAAGAAAAGCCGCCTGATTTTTACCACATTTTCTGATTTTACCTCATTCTCACCCTGTTATTTACTTGTTTATTTTATTTATGGGCTTTTGTTTTACCTGCTTTCTGGAAACGCTCTTCATCGGACTCAAACCCTGGTGTCGCGGTCAGCTCTTCTCTGCGTCTCAAGTCTAAATGCAGCCACACGTACCTCTGGATACATAATTCGCGACCTCCAGAAACGTATACAGGGCTACGTTTTCAGAATGAGCCTATGTTGATTGGATGTCTCCTTTGTCGCACCCATTACAGGTCTTTCAGTCTCTGCTAATGAGCTGATGATCTGAATCAGGTGTGTTTGGTTAAGGGGACATGATTATTGTTCAGAGCTGGTGTTCCTCCACGAACGTGGTTGAGAAACGCTGAACTAATGGAACCTTAAAGTGTGACCCTTTTAATTTTGAGATGAAGTGTGTACAGGACATGTTTTTGTAATATGTAAATCTATAAGTAAATTCAAAGCCATTCTAGTATCCAACTTTAAGCACCTACGAAAATCTGTCGAAATTCAGCAATCGAGTGATTCGAGACAAATCCTGCTCATGGGATATACGTAAACGAAGGAACTTGTGACATACTAAGACGTTAGTTGCAAATCCACAATAAAAGAAATGCCTTTACACATTCATCACTTGCGTTCATCCAACATCATGCTGTGATTTATTTGTTTCTGTCCTCTTTGGTCACATTGGACCTTCATACAGGGTCAGAGACTCACCTGAGAAAACCTGCAACTGTAAATCTGTCACTCGACACAATGATTCAACCCAGGCTCATTCTGATTATGTACCCCTGTATACATTTCTGGAGAGCGGCAAATACGTCCCGGGAGCTACATTTTTTTGCAGTTTTTGTTTTCGCAAATCCACCAGAGGCCGCTGTGTATACTTTTCGAGATCTCAAATTTCTCTCGGGAATGCCATTCCCACCTGCTGTTCTCTCGTAAATCCACCAGAGGCCGCTGTCGACTGACTGTTTGACTGAGCGATCGACTGACCCACCCTTTCCTAAACCCAACCAATAGTGTTTTCAAAAGCACAGACTGACCCACCCATCCACTTCCCTAAACCCAGCGACAAATTTAAATAGCAATTCAGAAAAAGCAAAGGCCTCGCCTGATTTTTTTTCCCACGTTTTACCACATTTACACTCTATTTTATATATATATATATATATATATGGCTTCCTTTTTTTTTCCTTATCCATCGTTCTTCACCGTACTCAAACCCCGTCATTGTGGTCATCTTCTCTCTGCATCTCAAGTCCACCTATGCACATGGTGAGCTAACTGGACAATCTAGCAACAGCCAGAAAGTCGTCCACACAGTGGTAAGCGGTCAGCTATTAAGCGCGAAAAGGAACAGCCGCCCCGTAGCATTCATTTTAAAGATGAAATGCAGCCATACGTACCTCTGGCTACATAATTCACAATCTCCAGAAATATATATAGAGCAACGTTTTCAGAATGAGCCTGTGTTGCAATGATTCTGATCAAAATAAAATAAAAAGTAAATCAAAGATGCTGTACAATATTATCGACGCACCTACCACTGCTCATTTTGGACATTTTCTGCAAGATTCTGGAAGCTTTGCAAATGAATGCAGCCAGAATAATTACCATAATTTGTGCAGCCTTGATATAAAATGAAAGAGAAAAAAGGGAGCACTATGGAAATGGAAAACTCAGTAGTTGAATTTTTTGTCACAACATTTCTTTTTGTTTTCGTACATTTGTTTTTGCTGTCCAGCAACAAACTACACTCCACTTCCTAATGGAACCTGGCCCATAAATACCATGTTTTTTTATTCTGGGTGGTGCTGGAGGCTGGATGAGTCTCAGGGTCTGCTGTCGAGGCTGGGCGGCGCACGTGCTGGAGGGGGTCCAGGTGGTCCGGGTGGCAGGCGGGCGGGCGGTGGGCCGGGTGGAGGCTGGGGAAGCGGTGGTCCTCTCGGAGGCGGGCTGTTTGGAGGTGTTGTGATGGGACTGGCAACCTGCTGGTAGTCTGGTGGAGGTGGAGGAGGACTCTGAGCTTTGGCTGCTTCTTCTTTCACTCGTGTAAAGTTGATACACCGACCCTGAGGAGAAAACAGGGGAAATGCCAATGAGGAAATCAGTAGGGCTGTTTCCGATTCAATGGATCAATGGATTCGACCCCACAAGTAGTAAAAAAGTGAAAATCAAAGATGCCGTACGACATATCATAGCATCTAACACTGCTCATTTTGGAGTTTTTTTTCCCTGCATGATTCTGGAAGCTCAAAAAAGTTAGCAAATGAATGGTAGATGCAATCGGAATAATGAAATTAAACGAATAATTCTTCTTTCACCCATGTTAAGTTGATACACCGACCCTGAGGAGAAAACAGGACAAATGCCATTGCGGTATTCAGTAGTGGTGTTTCCGATTTAACACTTTTTTTGCTTGTTCAAGCTACCTATTTAAAATGAGCTGAATCAGCACAATTATTGAGATTGTTTTTGGACTTAATTGTTTTATGTTGAATCCACTTTTGTTAGTTAAATTAATCGTGTGATTAAGTAGTTTGAACTAGAGGTCTGCATTCCCGTGGCTGTCCCGCGGGCGCCGCAGGACCCGACCAGATTTCTGCGGCGCGGGAATAAATTTCCGAATAAATCGCGGGAGCGGTCGGTAACGGGTTTAATTTGGGACGGGAGCGGGCTGTCTAGCAATATCGCGGATATTGCTATGCGAATGAGAGAGAGAGAGAGAGAGAGAGAGAGAGCGAGCGAGCTTTGCCTGTGTGTGTGCTTGTGTGTGTGTATGTTAGTGTGTGTGCGCGCGCGAATGAGAGAGAGAGAGCTTTCCCAGATAGCAAAATACACTCGGGCCAGTTCCGGCTAGATTCTCGCCTGCCGGACACTTACCACTCAGCCCGGCTCCGGCTGCCGGACTCCGGATGCTTGTGGACTCACTGCCCGATTCCGGCCCGAATTAATCGGGCCAGATGTGGCGGCCGTAAGCGAGCCGACGTTGCCGCATCCGCGCCGGATTCGGCCCGAGAGTAATGTGCGCTGCGGCCCGGAGCTGGCGTGACTCAGTATTTATATACCTTTATATAAAACCTTTTGGTATTACATTGGTACTTGATACATGGTATTACAAGCCTTTGAGTTGATATAACAGCAAACGCCTGTGTGTCTGCTTGGTACTTGTGTGTGTTAGTGCGCGCGCGCGTATGAGAGAGAGAGATTGGTCTTTGTGTGTGTGCTTGGTGCTGTGTGTGTGTGTGTGTGTTTATACAGACAGCTTGGCTGTCTGGACTGTATAGCTGGGGGATTTTCGGTTTTGTTCTCCTCCGCTCTTTAGCGGGATCGGGCGCGGCGGCCAGAAAATGGGGCGGGTCGGGCAGCGGGACAATAAATTCTTAATATAAGCGGGAGCGGTCGGGTTCGGGTTAAAACCTGGCGAGTGCGGGCGGGAGCGGGATTCAAAATTTGGTCCCGCGCAGATCTCTAGTTTGAACAAGCATCAAAAGTAATTTTAAGAGTGTACGCTGTAAAGAAAAGTTTCACACAATTGATTTGTGTTGGGACAACATGAATGAACTGTGTGGAAGCCAGTATTGTCATAGTGAACATTGTGGATACAACAGATTTAATTCTGAGAATTGCTCTTTGTTCAAACTACTTTTTTAAAAAGATTTTTTATTTTGCAACAACTTAATTGTTTATGTTCAATCAACTTAAATTTGTCATAACTAATAAGTTAACTTAATTCCTTCATGTTTTCCTAACACAAATCAATTGTGTGGAACTTAGCATTTATTTTTACAGTGTACTCTCTTAAAATTACTTTTGATCCTTGTTCAAACTACTTATTTAAAAAGAGCTGAAACAACACAATTCTTAGGTTTTTGTTTTGGGACAACTTAATTGTTTAATGTTCAATCCACTTAAATTTGTAAAAACGATTTAATGATTTCTATTGATTTGTGTTGGGACAACATGTAGGAATTTATTAGTGTCTAACCAAAATATCTAAAAATTCTTAAAACAAGAAGCATTTTCTAGACATAATAAGTCAAAATTAAGTGAGTTTTTCCTTAAAACAAGCAAAACATTTATTCATTTTCCTTCAGCTAAGTCCTTTATTTATCAGGCGTCGCCATGGCGAAATGAACTGCCAACTATTCCAGCATATTAATGTTGATACATTTCTAATCATAATAGTTTTAATAACTCATTTCTAATAACTGGTTTATTTTATCCATGATGACAGGGCATAATAGTTGACTGGCTATTTTTCAAGATACTAGTGTTCAGCTTAAAGTGGCATTTAAATGCTTAATTAGGTTTATTAGAGTAAGGTATGGTAATTAGGCAAGTCATTGTATAACAGTGGTTTGTTCTGTAGACAAGTATTGCTTAAAGGGGCTAATAATATTGACCTTAAAATGTTTTATTTATTTATTTATTTTTTTTTATGAAAAACTGCTTTCATTCCAGCCAAAATGAAACAAATAAGACTTTCTCCAGTGGAAAAAATATTATAGAAAATACTGTGAAAAATTCTTTGCTCTGTTAAACATCATTTGAGAAATATTTGAAAAAAATGACAAAAAAATAAATCACAGGATCTGTATATGGCGATATATTTCATGTATGCGCTTGTAAAAAACAACTTTAAAAACGCACTGTGTATGTCCGGCTTAAGAGAATGTGGACTCAGCCCACAATGATCAAACCTTCATCAACTTAAAGAGTCAAAAGAGCAGATCGACCTTTGCTGAGGAGCATTTTGTGGACAGAAAACTGCTCCAAAGCTCACTTTAGTGATGAAAGACAGCTTTATTTATTTGGGTCCAGAAGGATTATCATTGCATTATTGCATTCATCATCAAACTGGGAAAAAACCGAACCCAAAAAGTGTGCGCAGAAGTGAGTGAAAGGCGGAGAAGGAAATGTCATGCTTTGGGGGATGTTTTACATCGACCCCGAGTAGAAAACAAGAAGAGAAACGGCGGTGAGGTAATCCACTCTGTTGAAGGTGGATGCTTTCCAATACGCAAGGATGGCTTTTTCTTATTTTCCAGAATGTGCAGCAATGACGCCCAAATCCGAGCCGCTCTTTTATTTAGTTCACTCGTGTAGGATCTGGCCGAAGCTTTGTGAAAACCGCAGATGAAATCACCCTGAATTGTAAATTATGCATCATGGAAAGACTCTGCGAGTCCTCCATAACCCCAAACCCTGCTCTGAAGAAGTGCCAAACTGCCTTTGAAAGAGAAAAGCCACCTAAATATATATTTACACCAACACACTTATGCATAGTTTGTGTTATAAATGTAGTTTAAAATAAAGCTGTTTGTTTTTTATACCTGTTGTCGGTCAAAATAAACATATATGGCCATTTCAATAACATTAATAACAATATTTTATATTTTAATTCTGACTTAAAGGGCACCTATGGTAAAAAATCTACTTTTCAAGCTGTTTGGACGGATCTGTGTGTTGGTATAGTGTATAGACCGTCATACTGGGGTGATATGAACACACCCAGTCCTTTTTTTTCAATTTAACTACAAAAAAAAGGGTCGGCCAATTGGAGCTGTTTTCAAATCGATCGCACCATTACGTAGGTGTGCGATCCCCCCGCCCACCGAATTGATTGACAGCTGCGCGCATTAACATGTTCCGGTAGTCACCTGTATATGTCAACAAGACCAGGCAGACATACGCAAAGCAACCGGGAATAAAAGGTCTGTTCTGTTCGCTAGGATCAGCAATCATCATCAAATGTGATTAAGAGTGAGTTTCACATGTTTAAAGTGTTTTAAAACAGAGTATGTGTGTAATTAATTGCAGCGTTTTACTTCAGCTTTACTTCATCAGCACAGCCGCGTGTCAGAACAATTATAAAAGAAGACGCTTCAATCCCGGTTTGTATAAGTTAAATCAGGTTTATTTTGTACATTAGCATCACAGATATCCACACAGTACTTGAGGTTAGCCTTAACTAAGCTAAGCGCGCTCTGTCTGTCTGCCTGCCTGCCTGTGTGTGTGTGTGTGTGTGTGTGTGCGCACGCGTTAACTTTGTAACGATATTGTGTGTGACTCAATGCAACTTCACAATACTGATTAGTAAAGGTTAGTTCTTACTGTAGTATCTCACAAACGCTACGTCTGACGCAGCTGAGGGAGGAGGCATTTTGAAACAGTAGGCGGGAAAGACTTGTCTTAAAGGCGCAGTACGACAAAACCACCCCCTGCTGGAAATCAGTATAAAACAGCATCTTGTAAAAGGTATAATGAAAAATCTGATGGGTATTTTGATCTGAAACTTTAAATACACATTCTAGAGACGCAAAAGACTTATATTAAATCTGAAAAAAGGGGTAACCTAGGTGCCCTTTAAAGTAATTTGTATTCAACCAGCAAGGAAAAGACACAGGCTTCTCCCAAAATATAAGAGGATGTTCATGAGGCATCATTGTGGGAAGAAAAACAAAACTATTTCTCAGCTTTTATTTACATTTGAACAAAAAGTGGCATATCCAAAATGCTCATACCCTTTGCAAAATGTCACAGTTTATAGGAAAATCCAAAGTTCTAGACAATTCCTAATAGTCCAAGCTGTACTAAAGCGTCCTGATTACACTGATGCATTGGGAACGGCTGTTTTAATCAACTCAACAGGTGAAAAACACCTGCGGTTGGTTTGTGGACAGTCATGGCTAAGACAAAGAAGCTCAGCGCAGACCTACGGTATGAATAATTTCAGGCAGGACTGACTATCTATATCACAGGTGTCAAACTCCGCAGCTCTGCACAGTTTAGTTCCAACCCTAATTAAACACACCTGATCAAACTAATTGAGTCCTTCAGGCTTGTTTGAAACCTACAGGTAAGCGTGTTGAAGCAGGGTTAGAACTAAACAGGAATTGAGTTTGACACCCCTGATCTATATATTACGGAGCACCCTGAGGAAACCCATGCAGGGAGAACATGCAAACTCCTCACAGAAACGCCAACTGACCCAGCCGAGGCTCGAACCAGCGACCTTCTTGCTGTGAGGGGACACCACTGCGCCACTATATACATGTATTTACATAAC